GCCCTTCCCTTTTTTATTCTGTTATGTTCAGGAAGAATCAAGAACCATAGTCATTTGCGTTACTTTTTTGTATATGACATTAATGTTCTAATAAAAAATATTTGCATAGAAAATGTCTTTGACGACGTTGCTCTAATTTTATTTATTTCGTAAATTGTCGAGCCAACTCCTATTTCAAATTGGTGCCCATAAAGATTTGAATTTCAGGGTTAACGAAGCGCGGATTTTCTTTTTACAACTTTACTACTTTTCAAAGAAAAATCATTCATGTCTAGAAGGTAATAAAGACTAATTTGTAAACGGCATTAAAGAATTGTTAACTTTTACTATGTACTTAAAAACCCTTCTCCTAAAAAACTTCCCTTTGTTATCATTACAATTATTTATTTAAACGACCTAGAACGATGTTTACTGTGATTCATTTCAAAATAAATATTTTTGAGGACAATATTTAAAGATAAAAACCACCTTTCTCTTATCTTTAAACCTACAGAATAATTTTAAAAGATAAATTATTTTAATTGCATCGGATGATCATAAAATCAATAAGTATTATTACTTATGGTACATGTCATGGTGTTCCGGAGATAAAAGACGCCCGCTTCTCATGCATGAAGGCGCGGGTTCGAAACCTACCAACGTAAGTACCTATGTGACTTTTTCCGAGTCATATGTTACTTTCTAAGATCATTTATAGATAACACCACTGACAAACTGTGAAGGACAACATCGTGCGGAGACCTGGGCTTATGATTTCTAATTATAAGTTTGAAATGGCCAATCCGCATTGAGCAAGCGTGGTGATTAATGGTCAAACCTTCTCCCTGCGAGATTTGATCAGCAGTGCACAGTTATAGAGTGTTGATGTGAATGGTGGTATCATCAGTAATTAATGTTAATCGTTTTATAATAAAATGAAAATACTATACTAGATTTCCATTGTTAAGTAACTACGAACTGTTTTTCTTCGATCATTCATCTGAAACTTTAACTGACGTCACAATATTATAGTATGACGCACGTAACATTGTGTTTGACCACTCGATTACAAAGTAAACCTTTAGAAAAGCCGGTGAACAACGAGGTAATGGTCAATGGCTTGGACGTCAAACTATAAGGACCGATACCGTATAATGGTTTCTACACATTGCATAATTTTTCGCACGTGTAAGAAGAACATGTCAGAATTGTTATTCCTTGAAGTGTAGCGGTAATAGGAACTTAGGACAACATTTCAATAGTATGTATACCGAACTTCATTGTGAATTATATTGTAGTTGTCCGTTTTCCAATAAAAACGCCATGGGTGCCACCAGCGACCGGCCATAGCAGAGGATTTGTCTTAAACAGTTTTTTTGGCAATTTAACAAGATTTTTTTATGGGGCAAATCATCCAATGACATCTTACCGGCCGTGTGAGGCTGGAGGGAGTGTCAGACTCTTACTGACTAAAAACCACCTCGTTCCTACTCCGAGCCGGAGCCCCGGCAACCCGTTAAGTCCTCCGCGGCTCGTATCAGCATCAGTCCTATTGGACCCTATGTGTGATGGTCTGATGAGTCTTTGAGGCGTACGCTCGGGAATTCAAATTCAAGACTATTAACTGCGGCACAACTAAATACTCTACTCACTCTCAAAAGGTAATTAGAAAAATAAATAAATAAAAATTACCTATAGAGGATAAGTTAGATTTTTACACGAGCTAACGTAACTAATACGCTCGCGGCTTTACTTAGGTCATATTGGATTTATCCGGATATTGTTGGATTTTTCAGTAACTATGAAAATTCTTAGTAGTAGTACAAAGCCGAACTAAAAGTGTGTAGGAGTGGACTCGCTCCTATTACATGGAAAATTTTATATAATTGGCAAAAAGATTACTATGTCCAACTGCCTACTTCCCTGTCTACCCACAATGTTATTGGCCACGCCTATCCTATTTTCCTATATCAATGAATGACAGATTTATACATCTACTTTTTAAACAGAAGAATACATAACAGGAGCAAGCTAAATATGCATATTGATAAGCTACGGCAAATGAAAATTTGGTTTCAAATAGCATGCTTATTATTTTATTAAGAATACTAGAAATATTTAAAAATGTAGTATGTAGGTGTATCATCAAATCAATCATTAAAAACATGATGATTTACTTTGAATGTTTTATAGTACCTTCCTATAGTAAAGTTAAAATAAATAACTAAATTATTTTTGATAGAGGAACCTACCCAATGAATAGTCATCATCTTTCGAGAAACAATAATGATGTTTAACGTTATACTAATTGATCAGCGTGAACCATTTAGTATAATGTTCGTTTATCGTCCAGCGTCGTCATTAGACACCGTCAGCAAGACAATAACATCGCCATGGCATGATAAATTACTTGATACCGCACAGACGCTTGTTGTTATTGTGTCAAAAAGGCGTATAATTACAGTACGAAAGGTAATTTACGTAGAAGTGGATGACGGAGTAAAATTTATTTAACTAATAAATGTGACAACGCATCTAGTTTTACTAAAAGAGTAAAGTTACACACGCTATAAAATAGCATGCTAAAAGGCGTTATATTGATCATACAAAAAAACGTTCGAAAATCGAACGTCTGTCGATCCGCAAACATGCCGTCCGCAATGAGTAGCTAATTTTGAGCAACATTCTGACACATGTTATTAGTGCACAATGCTCAATTCGAAGCATTATTTTGTGTTTGAAATCAGCATGTCTCATAGTACCTTAAGGGTTATTATAATTTTTATAATACCAGATATTCGTAACAAAGATAACGGCCCACCAGATGAGCAGCGGTCACAGTACGTCAGTAGCCTAATTACACCTACAACACCAAAGGTATTGCAAGTGTGTTGTGAACTACTATGTTAGAAACTGTTTAATTGTAGGATATCGTTTCCGAAGAAGAGGGTGCAATCAAACAAACCAGACGAAACGCAGCAACATTGTTTTATTTTTAATTTTTTTTATGGCATAAGCCGGTAAACGAGCAGACGGATCACCTGATGGTAAGCAATCGGCGTCGCATGGACACCTGGAACACCAGGGCGTTAGTACGTTACCGGCCTTTTGAGAATTGGGTAATTTGAGGATTGCGGAGGATTCGAAAGACTGGGGAGGGGGGTAATTGGGCCTTTGGTAACCTCAACTCACACGACGAAATACAACGCAAGCGTTGTTTCACGTCGGCTTTGTGTGAGGTATGTATTTTAGTTTGTTACGGTCTTCTAACTACATTATTGCTTACTAGCTTCTGCCAGCGGCTTCCGCGTTTCCTTGAGATTTAAAGTAGCCTATGTGTTATTCCAGACCATAATCTACCCCTGTTCCAAATTTCATCTGAATCCCTTCAGCCGTTTTGACGTGAAAGAGTTGATAATCTTTCACGTATTTGATAATATCACATCCTTCATCACTTCTTTACTTCACAACTTTCGTATTTATAATAGTAGTAGGATAGCAAGAAGGACAAAACTATGAACTTACTACTACCTGAGTTTTATCTAAAGAAGAAGTAGAGGAGATTTTGTGATATAATGACGTGTGACAAGGGAGAATAGAAGAAGAAAAGCAGAATGCTTCGACCCCAAATAATCTGAGATAAGGGCATGATAATCAATGGAAGATAATAAAGTACTGAAATAATGTCGAAAAGTTTAAAGAAAAGTCATAAATTATTATGCTTTTGGTTACATAATAATATTTACAATATGGATGGAGATCATGATTCTTCTGGTTTGTTATCTTGGACCGAATAATATATAGAAAACCTATATGGGTAAGTTCATTCAAGCATTGTAGAAAATATTCAGTTCAAATTATAATTAACCCAAAAATACTTGACCAGTTATTTATATACCAACAACCCTCATGTATATGGAGATTTCATTAAGTTCCCCAAATAGGAAAATGTAAACGAGCAAACCAAACTATGTACACTATACCTTCCAATAAACAAAGAAAATTCAACTTTGTAATACATAAATTACAATATTTAAATTTAAAAATGGAAATACTATTGTAAAACTGTTTTCACTTTTAAAATGAACCTGAATAAAATTGAAACAATATTAATATATGAATAAAGTGTAAAATCAATTTAAAAAAGTATAAATTCAAATTAAAATTGGAATATGTAATTAAAGGGGTGCTTATATAAGAAAATGACATCGGAACTGTAGGTTGACCCGATTACCACGGGTTCGTTGATCGCGAGTGGGCGTGTCGCTTCGTTCATATTGACTAACATAGTGAGGTACACAGCACAGGTCTCTTATAGTGATGTAACGGGCCTAGGAACCGAGCGGGTGAAGGTCTGTATACCTTGTTTTGTAGGTCGACGCGCATAATACGGCATATAATTTAAAAAAAGAAAATTGCAAGGACAAATGGATAATAACTTAAATAAGATAAATATAAGAATAAAAAAGTAAAAATACATCTAAAAAAAAATCAAATTTTGCCACAGTATGACATTCGATTAATATTTTATAGAAATTAAGCTGCATTCTACTCATCATTTAAAGCAAATAATAAAAAATTCACAGAATTTTTTTTAAAATATAATTTTAAACTCGAACAAAATCTTCCAATGTTGTAATGTTTAATCCCTTATTAATATTTAAACCAAAACAAACTCCGATCCGCAGTTCTATTCCCTAAACGCCACCTACGCAGTATGTATAAAAAGCCCGACGGGTCGTATGCACCACAACGTAGGTACTTTCCTGCTTCGCGTAGGTCAGGTATCAAACGTAACACCCTAATGTCATCCCTTCCCATTCACCTTTATTTACATTCAAAACAAAATCTCAAAAAAACATACCAAAATAATAAAATAAAATACCCAATAAGTACATATAATTGCATGTAGTATATATGCAGTAACTAAACAAAAACGTCCTTGTCAGTCCGACCATCCCACATAGGCTTTAAATAAACAACATTGCACGAAAAATGCAAAAATTAAAAAATAAACTTACCAATGAAGAACTGCGTGTGATCACGACACTTCCTTGTTTAAATGTAAAATGGTGAATGAGTAGGAAGTGATAGAAATGCACGGAATGGCGACGCGAGGCGGAGGTTAGGGAAACGTGCGCTCGCCACCGGGCTGCGATCTCGACTGAAGCCTGAAGGGAGGTTGGGCGGAGCCACGCGCCACGGCCTGATCAAGCGAATATTTTATCGATACTTTTGCTTTAAGATAGGAAATGAGACAATTACGGCAACTTCCAGCCCCGTGAGACTAAGTTCAACTATGCCATTAAAAGTTCAGGGAAATGCACCGGTTTTATTATATTGCATCATGCTATTTCGTGACTGATGTCATACTGCGTAATAGATTCGGTGTCTGTTCTAGAATAACCTGATTTCGCTCTTAGCTTGTTTTTTCCTTCTAAAAAATAAAGATGCGATTTTTATTTTTATTTTCGTTGCCGTATATTATTGAGAAAAAAAGTTGATATCTCTAATATAGATAAATATTTTTATTAAGATTCTTACACTCTGCTGCTACTACGTCCAAAATATTTAACGTATTAAACAATTTTGATATTACATATTTTTGGTCCAAAAATGCAGCTTACGAAAACAATGTAAACATGTCGAGGCACGCTCGCCGGCCGGCGAGGTAGCGCGTCATAGAATCTGTAAAATTCACCCTTTTCTCATCAAAATGAAACGTTACGTAATGTCGGACGAAACAACATCCATTGCTGCATTTGTACTATCAGGCAACCAACAGCGTGATGAAAACAAAGCAATGGAAAATTCAAAACGAAAGTCTCGTAAGCGGTGCTACGCCGTAGCACTTTCTACGCCGTAGAGGACTCCAAAGTACGAAGCGAACACGCCCGCCGTATTTCATGATTGTATAGATATCTACATAATACTTTCCAAGTTCGATAAAAGGGAAAATTGAAATTCCTTGTAAGATTGAACTTGTTTTAATCTACAGGGATTCAACTGGGTTTCTTTTAAAAATATCCATGTCGGATAAAAATGATGGAAAATTTATTTTGATGAGTTTGTTAATTAGTCATGTTTCTTAATAAAGGGTGGCGTACCGCGAATCGTGTGACGTGAAATGGTGGCCTTAGTGGTGATAATTGGATGCTCACTTGCTTAGACATTATGTACTGTCACGAACCACGCCATACATATGTGGTAAATAATGTTGTGTCTCTTATCACAACACATTTATTAGTTTCATGATGCTTAGAAGTATTATGTTTTCAACAAGAATAGTGAGCCTCATGCATTTTCTTCTTGTATTTTGTTAGGTATATAGAACTATGTTTCATTCGTATGTAATAATTGATTTTTACCCAACTAACCAAAATACCATAACCCTGAAGAAAATAACATACAAACTAAAAATAATCATTGATTAATAAATTATCTTACCTGCTCCTGCATACTGCAATAAAATCACGTCACAAACGAAAGCCACACTAAACTATTACATCAAATGTCAAATGTACTTATACCTACATACATAATATATTCAATCGTCACTCTGCATTATTGCATGAACACAAACTGAAATAAGGAACGCAGCGCAGATAGCAGCTATCAGCACTTCTCTCCTCTTTTTCTTTGTTTATCAACAGTCTGCCCACAGATACCCACGGACATTTTCCCCCTAGACAGAGACAAAATATACCCCAAATAGCCCTGTCACTCTCTCCCGATGCGTCGATCGATGTGACCTTGGCAGTGGGGATATTTAAACCCTAATAGATGATATCCCGCAGGGAATATTAAGGGGCATTATGGAAATATGGTAATACCTTCTGTAATGTCGATAACAGTACATTATTTTGAGAAATCAGTATTGTAAATAAACATTTTTGGTAAACACGCAAACCTAATTTCGTTTGTGAATATAGGATTATCGTTTCTGTCTCGACTTTGAACTGCATTCGCTTTTAAGTGTCTATAAAATTAAGGCGTGTCGTTTACTACCAAAGCAAGGTGAAATAGACTCATTTCTGTAATAGAACTGTACAATCGTTTTGCAATTTTCTATAATAAAATCTGCATAATAATGTGTGCATATAAGGTGTATGTGCAATCAATGGCGCTGAATATTTATTAACTGTCTGTATCATACACATACGAGCTATCAAACTAGACCTTGATATTGTGCAATTCATTGTCACGAGGATCTCTTAATGGTCGTGTGACCAAATCGATGTTCATAGTATGTAGTATTAATTTCTAGGTTTTTTACAAATGCTTAAAGATAACTGTAGATTTAAGGTAAATCATGATGATAATAAGTGAAGAGCTAAGGTCTTCGCACACCTATTAAGCACGACTCTTGCACGGTTTAAGCACGGCTCCAGCACAACACCGGCATGGTGTTTTCTTTTCTTTGGAAATAATACAACAAGGTTGCAAGCGCCCCGCCCGTGTGCTGACGGCGCGCCGGCGATTTTTATATTGGCGTTATGAAATATGTCATACGATATATGATTTAAAGTTCATATTTAAATGACAAGTTAATTCCTGGGTTGAAGCTGTGCCGTAAAGCCAGTTAGGTGAGCGAAGACCATAAAACTAGTAGTTAAATGACTTCCAGTGAACTACATAGCTTTACTAGTCCTATAAATTACACATGCCATATATTATGATTTTAAAAACAATTTTAAACTGTCAAACACCAAGCGGACACCGGTGACCGAAACCTATTGTTCTATAATTGTGTCTATAATGACGGTACTCGACGAGTTAATTGATATAAACTTATAGCAGTGGCGTAGCGTATCTTGGCGGCCCCGGTATAAAAACTTTTTGGGGCGCCTTAAAAATTTCTCAGAAGAGTTTTTTTTTGCATAATATACTAATAATTTGTGTTAAAACCGGAAATCTTTCCAGGCCGGGCCAGGCCTCTGCCCAAATTATTGAACAATTATTACTTTAGTTTTTCCAAAGTTTCTGACAACCTTTGAACGCAAGCATTTTGTGATTACTGAAATAAAATAGAAATTAAGAAGTTTTTCTATTTTTGTTTACACACGTTCCAGGGGCCTCTTATAATTGATACGGCAGATACGCCCCTGACTTTTAGCAACACATCGTCTAAAATAGATTTCAAAACTTATTTCCTCAGTTTTACCCAAATCAACGGTGTCACGAGGGAGAAGAAGACGTAGAAAGGAGTTATTATTAACTAACGCAAAACTCACGTTACGTTATCCTCACAAGTTCTTAAACTGATTTTCGAGTCGGTTAAAAGCGTGATCTCCTAAAAAAGTAATACACCGTAACATAACAATTATAGAAGTTCCAAGCAGTTGGCAACTAATAAAATCAACACGAGCACAGACTGTGCGTATTGAGTAAACACAATCGATCTAAAGAACGAAGCCGATAGACATAACTATACTCGTATAACATACTTTTACTGTACCTACAGACAGACAGTAGAACAACGAAATTGATTTCCTAACTACAGAACAAAAAGCTGAAACTTTGCACTTAACTTATCATTGGAGATATATTTTCCTCAAATGTGTTTTATCTGATCTTATGACTCTCACCCGGTAACATTGACAAAGTGCTACTTAGATAGGTACCCTAAAATTGAAAATGCGAAACTACTGGAAAAAGTCTAGTAATGAGACAAGAGGAATCTTTTTTCAATATGTTGAATTGATTATTAACTGCCCGACCATACGGGCAACCTAACGGATTGCTGGGGCACCGAGTATGAACGCGGTAGTTTTAGTCTTTATGACACTCTTTCTAATCTTAGTCAAGGCGGCAGAAGCCATTGGATGATTTTCCCCCTCAAAAAAACTTTCCAATCATGTCCCAACTCCCTATATGTCTATATAAAAATAAATAGCTACAAATGCTTTGGCCGCGCTTGTAGTATAGTTGCATAATATAATATGGTTACGATTTTAAATCCCCTTCGTTACGGTAGTACCACATAACTGCGTCACGACTGGTCTAACTATAGCTACCTAGTATGGTCCTTCTGGCTTACTCTCTACCCAGTGAGCACACTTAGCTCCGTGTCTCCGTGAACTTGGTTGAAATAGAAACGATCGTGTGGTAACCTACCTACTAGCCACAGTTGTGTGGATTTACGGTTTGTTGTGAATTTGTTCGCGCTTGTGTAGTTGTGACTTGTGACGCACGGAAGCAGTCACAGTGAAGGTATTTATTTGTAAACACTGACTGGTTGCCTGTTCGAGGTATAATAGGTACGGGTTACAGAGTTGTGATGTTCGTTGATTGATAGATACATTAGTGCGTGTGAACTGTGACTGCTACCTACATTAGTATGTTAGATTAGAGGTATGGTCGGAAAGTTACTATGTTTGGTTTCAATTAGCAGCTTTAAATTTAAACTATACGTACATATAGGTGTACATATACATGTACGAAAACATCTGGTTAATACAGGAAGGCTAGAATAGAAAAAAAAAAGATAAATGTTATTACAGAGAAAACACTTTCTTTTTAAATTCATCTTCAGTCGTGTGATATATAGTATCTTCTCATATACTAACTATAACACTGAAGACCAATTCCAAAAGTCAATTTATCACGAAGCAACCAAGTATAATACTTTAATAACCAGTCTACTACGAACCAGCAAATTAATATTACAAGTCTTTCACAAACTCAATACTGTATTGATGAAAAGCGATGCTAAAGGCAAATCACTTGAAAACACAAGGGATTTTAAACACGCCGCAATAAGATAGGTGCCTAATTTTTATTTTAATGTCCGTCTGGTAGATTATTTTACACATTTTTTATTTTCTTACAAAAACGAATACTTTCGAATATATTGATTTGAAATGTCGTTTCACGTCACTTCTATGTACATTTTATACGTAGAAATTACGTTTTCAGCCCCCGCTCCTAAACTTTGATTCGTTTTATCTTAGTATTTTTTTTTTGTTTTAAATTATTGTACGAGAAGGGCATTAAAATAAAATTTAGGAAACTACCCTATTATGACAGTTTGCATTTCCAGAAGGGAAGAAGAACAACCATCTACTCCCAGACGAATAGATTGTTTATAGGCAGGCATGCTCCGCCATTCATTTGAATCAGTGGCAAAATGTCAATCTCTTCAATATCTGAA